ACGACTTCAAATTACAAATGGTTGTGAAAAGCAAATAAATGCAATGAAATTCATCTTATTTTGTGACCAAGTGTGACATGCTCGAGCAAAACATGAGACACTTTTGGAATCAGCAGCCCAAAATTAGTCAAAAGGATTTCATTCAACAAATATGATGCAGGGCATTGTAATCATTTCTCATTTAATATCATATTTTTTAAAATCTTTATTTATCCCATTGCAGTGAATTGCCTTTTCTGAGAAGAATACATGTCTTAAAGAAATAGTTCATCCAAAAATGTTCTTAAAATATTTCCCCTCAAGCCATCCAAGATGTAGATGAGTTTGTTTCTTCATGGGAACAGATTTGGAGAAATGTAGCATTACATCACTTGCTCACCAATGGATCCTCTGCAGTGAATGGGTGCCGTCAGAATGACGTACATATTTGTTTAGAACTGTTTTTGACTGTTTTTCATGACTTTTTCCCTGGAGAAACATCCCAGGTTACGTATGTAACCATGGTTCCCCGAGGGAACGAGACGCTGCGTCGGAAAACGCTAGGGGAATGCCTTCAGCGATACCAAGCTCTGAATCATATGTGTAATCAGTCGAACGATGGGCGAGACGTCCGCGGCGGGTGACGTCATGACCAGGAAGCTTTAAAAGCACGTGAGGTGCCACCGGCGCTAGCTTCTTAGGAGTGAAGCAAGCTCTAGTAGGGATGCCGGAAGTATGGCCTTGCGACGCAGCGTCTCGTTCCCTCGGGGAACCATGGTTACATACGTAACCTGGGACGTTCCCCTTCGGGAACTCGAGCTGCGTCGGAAAACGCTAGGGGAACGAGATGTCCACGCCGCCAGACTTGCAAATCCCTGCCTGGTGTGAAAGGGCACGGCTATGGCAAGAGAACAAAAGAGCCCGGAGTGGCTAAAGTAGGCGGGGCTCGCCATCCCGAAGGTCAACTTCTGGAGGAGTGAATCTTATCCCCCAAAGGAGAGGGGAGATCAGAGGACTCGAGGCTATGGAATAGCATCCTGATCCACCACTTTCCAAATCTGTTCCCATGAACAAACAAACTCATCTGCATCTTGGATGGCCTGAGGGGGAGTAGATTGTCAGCAAATGATAATTTTTGTTGAGTCATTCCATTAAATCTATTCTCTGAGTAGAGCTGACTTGTTTTTCTTGACATAATGTTGCTGGACGTCACTGAGGTTTTGTCAGATTTACTTTAGGGGTCCGTTTTAGCTCACACAAATTTAATGGCTTTTGATCTAGTCAGCAAACAACTGAAGAATGACAGAGGAACTGAAGTTTTAATCTCTCACACAAAATAATATTTTTTCATATTAAACAGATGAGCTCGTTTCATCATTTTGATGTGTGAAGTGATGGCGTTTAATCTCTTGCTAATATTTATTCGGCGGATCCGGTGTGTTTGGGTGGTGAGCGGGCCAGTCTTTCTTCTGAGAGACTAATGGATGGAAAACAGGAAAGATGAGTAGAAAAGAAGTGTCATTAAGAACAATAAAGAGAAGGAGATGTCATTTATGAGGGGAAATAGAAAGAGAGAGAGAAGGAGATCATAACAGAAGCGATAGAAGAACTTCTTAGGTGGATAATTTTTTGAATACTCTCTTTCTAATATGATTTACATGTTAATAAAACCAGTTGCTCATGGCTATAATATACCTACTCTCTGAAATAATCAAATAATTTACTGGAGATATAGAGAAACGCTAAACCACATCTAGATATATTAATAATGAATGAGAGACTGAGAAAATATCAAGTGTGAAATAGAGAGACTTAAATTAAAAAAGGAAAATGTTAGAGAGTATGAAAAAAATGGTAGGAAAATGAATGCAAGTATATTTAATATATTAATATATAATACATTAGATTTAAGTGTAAATTATACACGAGTGAAAGTGTATCTGCATGAATCAAAATCTGCTCATCTTTCACCTCAAAATCATAATAAAGAAATGTATATTTATATTTTACATGAAGAAAATTAAACCTATTTTTAGGACCTATGTATGTATTTATTTATAATATAAATGTGAAAGAGTGAAAGAGTATCTGCGTGAACCTTACAGAATCTGCTAATAATTACACCCTAAAATCATACCAACAAAAAATATATATTTATATTTTATATGAAGAAAATGAAATCTATTTTTAGGACCATTATTTAATTAGCATTGTGGCATTTTTCAAAATAATTAACTGCATTTTACCTCAAATGTACTGTATTGTAATGTGAAAAGCATAAAAATATATGATTTTAATTAGGGATGCACGATATATCGGCCACCATATCGGTATCAGCCGATAAATGCTCATTTTTTCTGTTTTATCGGTATCGGCCTGATAAGAAAATTTGGCCGATATCTTAAAGCCGATAAATAATGCATTATTTCCTTCAGAGACACTTCAGATGCTCGCTGTTCGTTTGCAGCCTTTTGTGCAATTGTACATTGTAATATTGTGTTTATTTGATGTATATCTGATTTATCTCATATAGAATGCGTTTGGTTAAGTTAAAAGAGCGCTTCAGTTTACCGGTGATAAACTCAAACAGCAGTGCACAACATTAATAACTATGATTGGGAATGTCGTGTATATAACATTCTAATGAGAACATTATTATAAAAAAACATTGTGAATTCTTAGGGTTTAGTTGCCATGTTTCAGCGCGTTGTTATGGGAAGAGCGCATCCACAACAGGATCACACATTCTGACTATAGCATGCAATAACTGCGTCATTTTGTACATATATAAGTTGTAATATGTTTATGTTGTATTAATATTAATCTCAGGATGCATTTCCATGAGTTAAATAAGCTGCCAGCAAAACGCTTCAGTTTACCATGTTCACTCAGCTCTTCAGCTTCAGCTTGAGCTGCAGCTCAATGGCTGCTATTTAAAACAGTGGTATTAATTTGTTACTTTTTCAAAATCATTGATACATTATTAATAACAACAACCACTTGTATTTTTCTCTTATTATTTTCATCAACAATATGGGTTAGTAATTAAAATCATTTAATTATTGTCCGTGCAGAGGCTATTCCGTTTTATTGATCTATGGCACATTCATTTTGATTCTTTACACGTGTAATGATGTCCAGTGACTTGTTTGCATTATTTTATTTATTTGTAAGACTTTATGACTAAATTTGGTAATGGGAGAGTAAAAATATTTTTAAAACGTACACCGTTCAAACTAGGCTGCTTATGTTAAAGTGTTTGGGATGTGGCTTTTAATGATGAGACCTTTTTTTGTAATCAGGCTCTCAAAAAGTATATAACAATTTGGATATAGATTTATCGGCCAACATATCGGTTATCGGCTTTCAAAAATAAAGAATAATCGTTATCGGTATCGGCCAAACTTTTCATATCGGTGCATCCCTAATTTTAATTGTAAAATATTTATAAATCATAGTGTGATTAGTTTTTTTTATTGTTTGAATACAACAAAAATACAATACAGCAGTGAGAATCTATTAAGAATTACAAATAAACTCAAAAGTAATGTATCCAAATGCATAACAGTGAGAATTTGGACTGAAAATATGCTTACAAATAATCACAATGTAAACCTTAGTACTTTTGTTGGCGATTTATATTCCAGCATCGGCACAGACGCAACCCGTTTAAATATTCAGAGCAACACGGAGGGAGTGAGACCTTGACTTTGTCCACTCGATGAGTTCAGCATTAAAACACTAACATTTCAGCAACATCACAAAACAAATCCATTATTTAACAGAGCCTCTGTTCTTCTGTTCTCCAGCGTCACTCCATCTGATTCACTGAGTGATTCATCATCTTCATTCTGCAGTCATTCAGCTCATGAACACAGTTCTCAGTTAAAAACAGGTGCAGAGGGAATACAAATATTTTGTGCACAAGTAAGCACAATCACAGAAGTGTTGAACTGAAGACTTGCTGAAGTTCTCCTGCTTCTCGGATGTTGCTCGTGAGAAAAAGACCCCAGTAATCTCATGTTTCTGCTCTAGAAGAAATCACAGCAGGTCTCAAACTTACTAAGATACAAATGTTTGCAAACAAAAGTCTCTGTCTGTGCATCCATCCATGTCATAAAATGTCTCAGTTGTTTCTGCACTGGAAAAAGGGTCATTTATTTAAAGTGGATTTTTATATTGGTCTAATCGGAAATCATGGTTTAAACGGTTTAAACCTGTTTTGTTTAGTTTGCTAAAAAAAAAAAATCCAAAATTAAACATAACAGAAAATATTATTCATATTTAAAAAAAGAAACCACATTAAAAATCACAATAAACATTAAGGTCTTTCAAAGTTGTCTTTATTTATAAGTAAATTAAACATTAAATTAAATTAATTGAATTAATTAAAATGTAGCTTTTTACTGCAGAAATGTTTTTCTTTGTATTTTTGTCTTGTTTTCTATTAAAATATCTAATCATTCTTAAATCAAGATACATTTATTTGAGAAGCAACATGACTTAAGATTGTAAGCTTTATTTTCTTAAAAAACATTCAAATTAAGTGACTTTGCTTAAACAAACAAACAAAACAATATCTGTCAGTGGGGTAACAAAAAAAAGAAAAGAAAATTGTTTTCCCTTTGAATTAAGTTTATTTTTCTGAACCCACTGACAGATATTTTTTTCTTGTTTTAAGCAAAAACGTACTTAATCTTCAACTTTTTTTTTTTCAGTAAACAAGGCTTAATATTGTACTGAATTTATAATGTGTAGATATTTGTACTGGAAAACTTTTTTTTTTTGTGGTGTGTTTATGGTTATATTAATATTATAATATGAATATATTATGTATTAAATCTGACATTTTTGCTTTTGTATAAAGAACATATATTGATTATAGTGTGGTATATGGTATACTTTGTATGTTTTTGTCTTTGTGGAAAAAAAAGTTGATTTTTAAGTGAAATGTAATCGAGAACTTTCCTTAGTATTGTGATCTGAGCAATAATGTTCCTCTGCTCTGTGTTTGTTGACAGGGTTGAGGAGAGCTTTAAGACTCTGTTCTGGTCTATATTCGGTCTGTCGGAGGTGATTTCTGTGGTTCTGAAGTATGATCACAAGTTCATCGAGAACATTGGTTACGTTTTATACGGGGTTTATAATGTCACTATGGTGGTGGTTCTTCTCAACATGCTGATCGCAATGATCAACAACTCATACCAGGAAATTGAGGTACGAATTTACTGCAAAAAATACTGATTCTGAATCTTATTGAGGTTTTGGTTTCACAAAAAAAACAAAAAACAAAAAAAAACATATCTAAACCAAATTATTGAATGAATGAAGCAAAGCAAATTATATACATATATATATATATATATATATATATATATATATATATATATATATATATATATATATAAAATATATATATATATATTATAAAAAAAAATTTAGAATTCAAAATGAAATTAAAGCGAAAAATACTTTTCAAATTAAAATAATGAGAAAAACTCTTGTTATTTTATATAAAATTTGTTCATTATTTGTTTACCTGCATATCAACATAGCATCAGAGAACTGTGCACCTGTAATGAAATGTTAACTTTAAAATCTCAGATGTACTTTAACTAACCTATTTGTTATTTACTGCAAAAAATACTGATTCTAAATCTTTCTGAAGTCTATCTAAACCTCCTTAAAGCAAGATAAATGTACCTGACAATTATACTTATACTATATATATCGGGGGGGGGGGGGGGGGGGGGTATACGAGCTGCACACTAATATTAGTGTAGATGTCATTCTTCTAACGATGTAGCAAGTACATCGGGTGTTATGAGAAGTGTTCCCGGTTTTGGTTGTCCTAATTCAGGGGTGGCGAACATCGGTCCTGGAGAGCCACAGCCCTGGAGAGTTTTGCTTCAACCCTAATCAAACACACCTGAACAAGCTAATCAAGGTCTGAAGGGTTACTAGAAAGCTACAGGCAGGTGAGTTTTAATTAGGGTTGGAGCTGAACTCTGCAGGGCTGAGGCTCTCCAGGACCGGAGTTCGCCACCCCTGCTATATATAAATGACTGTAATCTGTTAGATTACACATTTTACGTAATATATTCAGACTACTTTTTGATTACTTTTAGGTTACTTTTGACCTTACTCGCTTATCTGGTTTATTATTTTGTACCATATTGATATAAAATATGAAGAGAAAGAAAATATTTTCTATTCTTTGTCATCAATGGCATCAGGATTTGTGAGTTGATAAATCTCTCGATATCTGCAGGAAGACGCTGATGTGGAGTGGAAGTTTGCTCGTGCTAAACTCTGGTTGTCATATTTCGAAGAGGGAAGGACGCTGCCTGCCCCGTTTAACCTGGTGCCCACTCCAAAATCGTTCTACTACCTGATCATCCGGGTCAAGTCCTGCCTTATACGACTGTGTAAGGGCAAAGGTCATCGGCATGACAACGAGCTGGAGATGGGAATGCTCAATTCACGGCCGAAGGTAAAACACATACTGCACACTAAAAGTGTCTACTTATTATACTTATATAGTTCCTACTTATATACACTGAACAAAATTATAAACACAACACTTTTGTTTTTGCCCCCATTTTTCACGAGCTGAACTCAAAGATCTAAGACTTTTTCTATGTACACAAAAGGCCTATTTCTCTCAAATATTGTTCACAAATCTGTCTAAATCTGTGTTAGTGAGCACTTCTCCTTTGCCGAGATAATCCATCCACCTCACAGGTGTGGCATATCAAGATGCTGATTAGACAGCATGATTATTGCACAGGTGTGCCTTAGGCTGGCCACAATAAAAGGCCACAATATTTGAGAGAAATAGGCCTTTTGTGTACATAGAAAAAAAGTCTTAGATCTTTGAGTTCAGCTCATGAAAATTTTGTTCAGTGTATTATCTTGAACATCATTTAAGTTCCTCATGCACTGTAGATGTAATTGTGTCTTTAAACTTGTGCCGGTTTAATCTGTCTCACAGCGGATCGGAATGTCTCGTCTGATTTCCTGATGTCTCAGTTCTCTCTCGTCTGCAGTTTTGTGTCTCCAAAACTGATTTGCAGCTGCAGACGGACAGAAAGACTTTGATTAAGATCTTTTAAATGGAAATGATCCTGACAGTGAGACTCAATCAAGTGTCATTTAAAGTGTCGCTGCATTTCCGAAGCTCACAGAAAATTTCTAAAGAGAATTAAGGCTGAAAACGGAATAGAATGTACTAAAACAGAATGAAAAAATATTTAATTTGATATATCATAAATATAAATAATACATAATGTATATAAATAATAAACAATTGAAGTTGTACAAATAAGTGTAATATATATATAGAGAGAGATGGAGATAGAGAAATATAATAAATAATATATATGTGACCCTGGACCACAAAACCAGTCAATTTTTGAAATTTAGATATATACATCATCTGAAAGCTGAATAAATAAGCTTCCCATTGATGTATGGTTTGTTAGGATATAGGATGATATTTGGTCGAGATACAACTATTTGAAAATCTGGAATCTGAGGGTGCAAAAAAATCTAAATATTGAGAAAATTGCCTTTGAAGTTGTCCAAATGAAGTTTTTAGCAATGGATATTACTAAACAAAAATTAAGTTTTGATATATTTACGGTAGGAAATTTACAAAATATCTTCATGGAACATGATCTTTACTTAATATCCTAATGATTTTGGCATAAAATAAATTTTGATCCATACAATGTATTTTTGGCTATTGCTACAAATATACCCCATCGACTTAAGACTGGTTTTGTGGTTCAGGGTCACATATTATGATTATGAACATGATTTTTGTAGTATTGTGATGTAGTTATTTTTGTTGCAAATTTAATGCAAAAAAAAGTGTTTATATGTATATTACATAACCAGGTGGTAATGCCTATTTTTACCTTTAATTAATACCTTACAGATGAAGTGTACTTCATTTCTTTTGATCGTTTTCTCCTTTTATTTGGAATGTAATGTGCATAAAACCAACACATCAGCGTATTCATAACTAATGAATGATCACCACACAATCAGTTTCACATTACGAAGACTCAAAGCAGTAATGCATTATAAATATGATTAGATTCTGTTGTCAAATCATGTCAGTTGAATTAGAGAATGTTGAATATTGGCATTTTTTCAGACTGATCATCACCGAGCAAATCTCAGGAGCCGAGAGGAGAACACCATCAAGAAACCCATCAAAAACCCCACAAGATATCAGGTGAGAGACTCAACAAACCATATGAAACTGAAGAGAGTTCATTATGATCTCTGTATGCAGTCAGTTTGAACGGACATGCTCTTTCTCCCTCATTTCTGTCTGTCTTTCTTTCTAACAGAAGATAATGAAGCGCTTGATTAAGCGCTATGTTTTGAAGGCTCAGGTTGACAGAGAGAATGATGAAGTCAATGAAGGTACAAAGCCAGTAAATTTACTGTAGTCTCTTATATTTCACCCCAGACGGTCAGCTCAAATCATGTGTCTTGTAAAAATCTGCTTATCTACAGTATGAGTAACTCAAGCCCTGTGTGTTACAGGTGAACTGAAGGAAATAAAACAGGACATCTCCAGTCTGCGCTACGAACTTCTGGAAGAGAAATCTCAGGCCACTGGAGAACTGGCTGACCTCATTCAACAACTCAGCGACAAGTTCGGCAGGAACGCCAAGAAACAACCTTGAGACAGACAGATAGACCGAGAGAGAGAGAGACGGTAGTTGAGGAGCAGTATCTGGACACTTAAGACTCTTAAAAAATGTCTGAATGTCATTCATTAGATACAAAATGCATACGAAAGATGCATATGTACACTTTACAAGCAAAACAGCGTACAGACAGATGTGTGAGCGGTTTGAGATGATAAAACAGTAGATCTAGTGTTAAAAATGAAGACAGACAGTATTGTATTGTGTTTGTTTGTTTGTTTGTGGTTAGTGGATGATGGTGCTAGTTAATGAGATGATCTAAAATCTGTGTGAATTCTTCTATGGAATAAGAAGATGAATTCAGACTTTTCTCTTGCAATTCTGAAATGAACTAAAGTCATAAATTAATTGAAATTTTTTTTTGTTTTTTTTAGAATTGTGGGCAATTCTACTTGCAATTCTGAGAAGAAAAGTCTGAATTGTGAGATATAAACTGGTAATTGCAAGAAAAAAAGTTTGAATTATATTCTTACAATTGCGAGATATAAACGACCTATTCTGAGAAGAAAAGTCCAAATTATAAGAAATAAGCGACCAATTCTGAGAAGTCAAGTCTGAATTGTGAGATATAAGCTATAGCAATTGTGAGAAAAAAGTCTGAATTATGAGATTCTCCCAATTGTGAGATATAAGCTACCTATTTTGAGAAGAAAAGTCTGAGCAGATGTGTGAGCGGTTTGAGATGATAAAACAGTAGATCTAGTGTTAAAAATGAAGACAGACAGTATTGTGTTTGTTTGTTTGTTTGTTTGTTTGTTTGTTTGTGGTTAGTGGATGATGGTGCTAGTTAATGAGATGATCTAAAATCTGTGTGAATTCTTCTATGGAATAAGAAGATGAATTCAGACTTTTCTCTTGCAATTCTGAAATGAACTAAAGTCATAAATTAATTGAATTTTTTTTTGTTTTTTTTAGAATTGTGGGCAATTCTACTTGCAATTCTGAGAAGAAAAGTCTGAATTGTGAGATATAAACTGGTAATTGCAAGAAAAAAAGTTTGAATTATATTCTTACAATTGCGAGATATAAACGACCTATTCTGAGAAGAAAAGTCCAAATTATAAGAAATAAGCGACCAATTCTGAGAAGTCAAGTCTGAATTGTGAGATATAAGCTATAGCAATTGTGAGAAAAAAGTCTGAATTATGAGATTCTCCCAATTGTGAGATATAAGCTACCTATTTTGAGAAGAAAAGTCTGAATTATGACATATAAAGTCGCAATTACTATATGTTTTTATTCCATGGTGGAAACAAGCTTTACTTTTTTCCTCACAATTGTGAGTTGTGAGTCTCACAATTCGCACTTTTCTTCTCAGAATTGCGACTTAACATCTCAAGCTTATATCTTGCAATTTTTTTAAACATAAAAACATCATAATTATGAGATAAAAAGTTGCAATTACCTTTTTTTATTTATTTACTTATTGTTATTCTGTCAAGCTTCCATAGAACTGACTTCATACATCCACTGAACATCACCAAAACACCAGCTGAGAATAAAGAAAATGAACATTAGTGAAAAGATCCTAGATGCACTGTTACAGACACACATGATCTAATGAATCACATTCAGACATTTGTAATGAGTTAATATAGGATGTTGCCGCATTGAAGCAAAACAAAATGTTTTCTGATAATAAAACGGCTTTAGTTCCCCAGACTGATTCGATTACATCATCAGTCCAATCAAAATGAGTTATCTCAGAGCTGGTTGGTTTGATTCAACTCTTTTCTGGAGGAAATGAATGAACAGGACTGTGATCCGTGAATGATGAACTGATGTGAATTCACTCAGATACTGAACAACTTCCAGGAGAGAGAGTGAGAGATGAGACAAACTGAGAGGAGAGACAAATGGAGACTACGAGGGTAAAAGGCTCACAACAGGTATGCAGTGCATTCTGGGACATCGCCTCCCTTTAGAGTCATTTCCTGTTCTGAGATCATATCTCACAAGAGAGAAACCTACAGAGAAAAGGAGAAGAATAGGTAAAGACACTGTGATGTTAACAGTTATGGTATGATTTAATATAAAACTATTTTAAACAGTTAATTATGAGTAAGATGCGCAGTAACAGTGAGAAGGTGCATAAACATTTCCTCTTCTTCACGTCGTACAGGCTGTCTAATTAACACAAGAACACACACGCACACACACACAGGCGAATCTCACAACAAAAACATATTTCACCCAAACAAGAGAGCGAGAGAGAGAGAAAATTATATATATATTTTTTTGTTGTTGTTTGTTTGTTTTTGCACAAAATTAACTTATTTTCAGAAACTTTGTGGCAAGATTTATGACATTATATTCATGACATTTGAGCACATTTCCCTTTAAATTCTCATTGCTTTAATGCACCTGGAGCATTTTAATATATCTTAATTTTAATTATTTTAATGTTTTAATTTAATATATTTAACATTTTAATGTGCAAAACAGGATTTCATATATTTTCTTTTGATTTTGGTTTATGGCACCTGGACATTTTAATTTAAAGCTTTTTAATATATTTAAATGAATATACATATTAATATATTTTAATTTAATATGTTTTACATGTTAATGCACAAAATATGATTTATTTATTTTTTTCTTTTAATTTTGATGTATGGTAAATGACCCAGACATGTTCTTGTCAGGTTTTGTGAGATTCACCCAACCACACACACACAAACACACACATGCATGTTACAGTATTTGTGGGCTTTTATTGAAGACTTTGCCGGTATAAATCACGTGCTCAAACAGACTAAAGTCATTTTTCATAGAAACTGAGTGTGAGAGACAAAAGAGTGTTTACATGACATGTACACTTTTAAAAGTTTTACTGTAAGACTTCAGATTTATCTGAATGTATTTTTTGTTTCAGAAATGGTAAATTAATTAAATACACCGATATTCAGAATGTGTATTTTCATTTGAACAAGGAGAAACACGACTGAGCAACATAATTGTGCTATTTATAAATTAAAAGTTTTAAATGTTATTATTTTCACTGGGTCTATTTTTTCACATTTTTTATCTGACATTTTTATTGTCATTTTTATTGGAATTTAAAAGATTGTCGCATTCATATTTAATTCTATTCATGAATCATTGTCATTGTCAATTCTCTTTATATTATTGTCATGCAGAAAACAAATGTCAGCAAAAAAAAAAAAATGTCATGGTCCTAAAAATGGGTGAAAATATATTCTTATCTTCGTTCTTTTGAGGTGAACTGTGACCTGGAAATATTTTTGTGATTCGCTTGCGCATTCAGACGTAAAGAGTATTTTTCACCTGTAGAAGGAAAAAGATGTAGGCCTATAATGTGCTATTTATAGCCAACATTTTACATTTTAAAATGGGCTCCATTCAGAAATGACCTTTTCATAATGAAACTTTTTAACTGAATTCTCTCTGTGAATATTATCGGAACACGAATGTCAGCAAAATTGAAACATTAAATTTCCCCTGATGCTCATCATATTCAGTGCTTGCAGCTGTAAACAGTACATCAGAATCTGCAGATGCACTGATAAGAAACTTGATTGCACAAACGAGCACTAAACAGAAATAAATGTAGTTTTCCTCAGGAGGATATGACATAAAACATGAATATTACATAAATGAGCTTCAGGGGGTTGTGGTTATTTCATAATTGTGACACTATCCGACAATTTCCATTATAACCCGTAGTATGAGGTCACGCTCGTCTCCACGGTAACATCCACATCCCATTAGTGTCACCGCTCAACATATAATGAGCCTTTCTGTAATATTTGCCATGCGTGAAGACGATGTCTTCAAAAAGCCATCGCTTGACACCTGCGACAGGTTTTTTATCAGACTGGCAGATCATCTGTGCCAGAAGATATTTACATTGCGGCTGCTGGCTGTATAAATGACAGAATAACAAGCGAAGAGTCTCAGGGGTAATGGTAACCATGGAATCTACAACCAGAGCTTTAGCTGATGGTGACCGGGACTGGGAAATCAAGCCATTGTTTTGTTCGTCTGACAAGATGTGGCGCACACTTACAGTCTCACAGGATGTGTTCGGTGTGTCCGATTGTGTGATTCAAATCATGATGTGACTGTCTGTTTTCAGGGTGGATAAACTAAATATATACTAAATATACTGTTTCTAAATATATAACTAAACTAAATATACTGTTTCACAGTGTTCTCTCTGATTGTTCCGTCACTATGGCATTCCAAGCATTAGTTTAAAGGAACAGTAATCCTTTGATTTAAATAAATGTAAACACATTGATATTCCTCATGCTTCATGTTCTATTTGTTGTTAATTCAACTCCAGCTGCTTACAGTCAACATGAAACGCTCGCTGCGTCTGAAATCTATACTTCCCTACTATATAGCCTAATATGCGAAAAACAGTACGCCAAAAGAGTAGTATGTCCGAATTCACAGTATTCGTAAAAACAGTATGCAAAAAGTACCCGGATGACCTACTACTTCAGCCCAGATTATAAGGTGTGTCCCAAAACGCGTACTTATGCACTATGTTATGTAGTATAAATTTGTTTTGTAGTATAAATAGTGTGAGTAGTGCGTTCACTGAAAATTCCAAAAAGAAAACGTGCATTTTAAATACTCGGAAGATGCACTTAAATAACCGAAAAAATAAAGTGTGGAATGTTGGACATGCACTCAACTAGCAGCTTTAATTAGGTAGCGAAGGAGGAGGCGCTATCAGACTCTGATTATGAATGACAAAATAACCTTATATAATTAATTCACTACATGATTGAATACATAGTGCATAAGCACATAGTGTATATGTGGGTCATTTGGGACGGAGCTTTGGATATAGGTTGATGCCACATTCAACCTCTTCAGACATGTCGCCATCTTGGAATGGTCATGGTGTCATCACTCACAATAAAAATCAATGAGTTTCAAGATGCCACAACATTGCGCAGCCTCTGATTGTAGAAAGCACCAACATTTAAATTCCTGAAGAAACTG